AATATTTTTATTTTTTCTGGGTTGATTCCCCTATAATCCAATATCTGGTTTTTTACCCATGTCCATCTCGATACTGGGTTTAATAACTGTAAAGCTGAGTATTCTGGTTTCTCTCACCCACTTTAAAGAAATAGTACACGTGTCAGGTGTGGCCTTGGAAGGGGAATGTCTGACTATAAAGTTGCCTTTGAAGCCAACTTTTGGGAAGAAGCCCTTCCCTGTTTTTAGGACGGCCACGGAACATGCTTTCATATTTCGGGTCCGTCACCATACTTAATTTGGTCAAAGGCATTGGTTTGTCGATTTTTAAATCACTCACATTCAATGCATAAAGCATAGGCTTGAGGGTAATATTGGACGAAAGCTTGGCACGTACACGTGTGGACTGTTATTTATCAGCGCGTGTATTTGTTTTTTATAAAACATTTTTTTATTAATAACATGTTTTTTATGAAAAAATTGCAAAATGTTTTAATCATTTGAAATAACATAAAATTTATTTTTTAATTGATACATTTCTTGTTTTAAGAAGAATATTTTTCACAATCAATATCACTAGTTTTTCTAATAAAACATTATCATGATTTAAACACATGTTTTACTAGAATCATGTAAAAACTATATTAAAAATCATAAAGAAGAAATCTTGTTTTCATTAAATATTCATGAACACATTCTTAACTTTTTCTTTTTTGAATATTTGATATATAATAATTATCAATATTATCATAAAAACTAATAATATTATTTAAAAATCATGACATAATTGAATAATAATTTAAATATTATTTTAACCGGAGTGCATTTTTAATCAAAATAAAAAAAATAAAAAATAACAAAAAGGCTATTAAAAAAAAAAAGTTAACCGAATAAGCCTAAATGGTCAGGATTGTGAACTTGGTCCCGTGAACATAAGGTCATACGCATGTGAGCCTTTAAATTCACATTCGTATGTCTAGTATTTTTTTTTTTCATTCATGTATTTCTTTTTCATGTTTTGAAAAAAAAACATACTTTTTATCATAAATATTGTTTTGTAAATAAAAACTTATTATGGTTATAAAAAAAATCATGTATCAATCATTTCTACATAGGTGTACGAATAAATCTTGAAATACTAAATTTTAAAAACAATTATGAAAAATATACAATAAAAAAGTAAAAAATATATATTATATCTTTATTGAATATCAATGAATATACTTTTTTTTTTTGCAAAAGTTTACCTATCACGTTAGCATGTGATTATTTATAAAATAATTATAAATATTACCATGAAAACTCAGATATTCTTGAAAGCTATGACATGATTTGATTTAATAAATTAATTTAGAGATAATTTTATTATTAAAAATAACAAGGGTAGATTAACAAACAGGTCAAACACAAGGTTGATAAAAAAGACCTGCACATATAACCCTACAAGGCTAGAATTGCATATCTGACTTTTATCATTTGTCATCTTATTTTAGAATGGATAATATTTTATTTAATTGGATAAATAACAATTTTATTTACTAACCGGGATTCCAACCACCTCTCGTGGCTGAAAAAAAATAAAGGTATGAGTTTTTGGATGTCAAAAACCATTATTCATATTATTTTTACTGGAAAACACTTAAAATAATTATATAGACATCATGAACCAAATTTTAATCCAAAATATCATATAATTAATGTAAAAATCTAAAATTAACTTGGAAAACAAAAAACTAAGCCCCTGTACACTTTTTATGGCAAGATAAAAACTTCAAACCATCTTCATTAAACATTTATTTTTAATACGAATTCATTAACACTAAATTTAGTATTTTTAGTAGCCGAAATGTGCATGACCTACTCCTTTCTCTCACCTCGCATTTTTTGTCTTTCATCTTTTAATACTTAGGGAATAAAAGGTAAAAAATAAATAAATTTTAAGACCACAATGCAAAGTATTAAAACTTCAAGGAACAAATAACACATCAACTAAAACTTCATGGACAAAATTGAAGTTTTTTGCATATTCTAAAAAGCAGGCTTCACTATTTTTTATTTATTTATCTTGATTCTCCTTTTTTTAATTTTGTTTTTAAATACAATCTAAATTTTATTTCACAAAATTGACCTTTAATTGATGTTAAGATGTTAATTAACATTTTGTATAAGCACGTACATTAAAAAAAGGAGAGAAAAAAGAAGTATCTCAATTACTAATATAACTTGGAATGAGATTATACTAATATAACTTTGAATGGTAAAATAAAATAAAAAAGATCAAGTTCAGTGACAAATTTTTTTTTTGCATCATTCATGTAAATAGTATAAAAATAAATAAAAAAGAAAAAGAAAAGTCAAAAGAGTTATTGTTCATTTAAACAACAAAAAATAAAAATAGGGTCATTGTTCACGCAAATAACAAGGTGAATTGTAGAATTACGTACTTTTTTAGTTTATTCAGTAACAGTGATAAATGTAGATTGAATCCCGTGTTTGGACCTCTTTCCGTGTTTCTCTCACCCAATATACTGTTGTTGTAATGTGCTGATAAATAAATAAATAGATTCCAACGACAATGTTGCAAGTTGGCTAAAGCAAATCCATTTGTGCCATCCTCTATTCAAAATCAATTTTTATTTTTTTATTTTTTATTGGAAATCTTTAATATCTATATGCAATGGTTTTTTAAGACATGAATATTTGTATTCAAGTTTAATATAGGTGTTCGATATGATTCTGAGCATGGTTTATTTAAGATTTGATATCACGTATTAATTAATTAAATAAATAAATTGATTTAATAAACTCATCATAATCTCTCACATGAGTGATCGATGTATTCTTTCATAGCAAATTGACTTAATAACATCTTGATACTTGAAAACAATGGGGTTAGTTTCACAATACAAAGTTTTTTTTTTTAAGTCAATTTCTTTTATTCATTTTTTATTAGGCTCAGTCTTAAACATCTTGATTGAAATCAATTCCTTGCTTAGTTTAATTTTAAAACTAATCTGAATTAAATTTTGAATTATTAATTTTTTAGATTAATTTATCAAATCATACTAGTTTAAAATTATGAATTTTATTCAATAAATAACTTTATAAACATTTAATCAAGAACACGTGTTTTGGTGTGAACATATATAAAATAAATTTAACACAATGAAAACATTATAAATAGATATGGACGCCCATTTTTTATTCTAGTATTAGTAGAGTTAAGATTTGAGGTTATCATTTTTCTAACATAGCATATTATATTCTCTATATTTACACCTAATAAAAACAATACAAATAAATACAGAGACCAAGTATTACTGAATGGTGACCCAGCAAGATTATTGACATGTAAAATCACTAAAACCCTTCTAATTTACAATTAACCCAACCGTTGAAACTGGAGCATCCACGTCACCGAACTAGATGTGGTGAATGTAGATTGTAAAATGACAACCCTCGCTAGGATGATTAGGACGACAGACAGCAGGATAAACAATTGAAAATCGACAGGTTATTTCTAGCTATGAAATTGTGTTTGTTTCTTTGTTTTTAAAATACAAAATTAAAAAAAAAAATTATGTTAGTTTGATTTGCTAATAGTAAAAATAAAATCTAAAAAATAAAAAATATATTATTTCAATACATTTTTAAATAAAAAATACCTAAAAACCAACTAAAATCACCAAACTAACCTTTTCACTTTTTAACCTCCCAAATCACAACACGCGTCTAAGAATCATGGTCTGAACATATGACTGCTAAAGTACTCCTAGCTGCCATGGTCAACAAGCCTTTCGATTTTTCAACCAAAAAAACCAAAAACCAAAAAGACTTTTGATATGGTACCAAAAGTCCTTTTGATTCCTCTAATCGAGTTTACATATTCCCTGATAGCAAAAAATATGAATCCTAACATTCAATATTGGACCTCAGAGGCGTACACTCATTATTCACATGGCCTACACTAACAGCGGCGTTAAAAATACCGGCTAATATTTGTATCATCTATTAAATTAAAATCAGATAATATAGATATTATAAATAATAAAAAATTAAATATCGCGGTTGAATAGTAAATAAAGATTTTTAAAACCCGGTCCAAACGGTATACCGTTACATGCCCTGTTATGTTTTTTGGCAATCGATTCTCCTTCCATTCTAGATTTTGCTTTTGACGGCAGATGATGATGAGGAATTTTCCCCCATTCGAGGCTGATAATATTCGAAGCAAACAGGAGTCGAGCAGCTTAACCAGCAGATTTCCTACAACACTGCATCCAGGAAGCTACTTCAGCTGGTGGGAGAGGCAGAAAACTGATTCAGTACCGCCGTGGCTGGAGAAGATAACTTTTGGAAAAATGCGAACGGAACCGGGGTGTTCATCCCTACAAGCGTGTTATGTCTTTTGCATGATACTCTAAAGTCTAAACAGCCGAGCTGATGACCGGCCCTGTATCAAAGTAGTTCCTTTCTTCTCAACTAGTAACTTTACGTGGATTGCTAGAAGAATGAGCAACGGGAGGGGACAATTACACAAGCCAGTGGAATACTGCAAATAGCTAAATTTGACTCTTTCAAAATCCTAATCATACTATGGATAGCAGTTTTGTGGTGGGACTGTTATGTCTGAAGAATCAATAGCTGTAATTTTAACCATAGGAGATGAGCTTGGCCAGCATGCATGTGCAAATTGATAGAAAAATGATGCCATATGAATTCCTAACATTACCCCAGCTTCGAGGGCATACCCAAAAGATGGATTTCTGGCTGCCAATTATACAACAAGAGTCTTCTATCAGTAGCTATATTTTATCGCTACAATGGCAATTCACAACATTAGGTGACAATTTTGTCCATCCATGGCTAGAAGGCTCGCCTAGATACACATGTAAGATAAATCTACTCAACCACTCGACTTTAAATCTACTCACAACCACTCGACCTAACAGATAAATCTACTCAACCACTCCACCTTAAATCTACTCACAACCACTCGACCTAATCAGTATTGTATGTACTTCTCAATACCGATACTTCTATATCATGCAGAGGACCTTCTCCATCAGGAAAAAAAAAAAACAGAAAATTGTACTGACTTGTCACAATGTGCAAAACGCTCCTCAACTTCAGAGTCCAAATATATCCGATGGGCACACCTCGTTGGAAGTGACATATAGCACGCATTTTACAGCACCATTGTGAAAGGGTATGTGTCAATCTTTGGGGCGTGCTAACCATAACGAGCTCAGTGCTCGGAGACGGGAAGTGTAGTCACTGATAACAAGAAGGGCACGCGCAGCCTGGCGAGTCGTCAAAATTCGATGCATTTGTTGCAAAGTTTGTTGTCTTAATAGGTCAGCCTAAACAAGGCATAATAACCCAAGTCAATATACAATGTTAGCAATGCCAATGATTTTCAGGGGAAGGACAGGTATTCGTAATTAGGCTAGAAATTATATTACTTGGTGAAGGAAGTTCTCTAGTGTTGCGAGCTTCCCCATGGCTATTGCCATTTGGCCCATGTAGTCAGCAACATTTCCAGAACCAGCAGGCCCCAGAGAGGTGGATGATAGTGTGTCTACAAGTGATTGTTGCAAAGCTTCCATTCCTTGAGACAAGGCATCTTCAGCTTGTTGGGATGATTGCTGCAGATTGCATATGCCCATCAACTGTTGATCTGTCAAGGGTTCAAGGTGGTTCCCGAGAATCTATATTACAATGATAAAGAAAGAAAATGTCATTAAGTGCAACCATCAGCCATTTTCTTAGAAGGGGAAATAATGTGCATGACCAAAACCATCAATGGTCATCTACCTTGAGAAGTTCAGAAGATTTAAATCCACCCAACCACATGAAGCATCTTTCTGCAGGTGTCTTCCACATGCCTGAAAGCATATGAAATACATCTGCTTTTGCACCAATGCTCTTCAGTCGGAATATTTCATCGTAGTGTGCCATTACACCATCAACAAGAAGCCGTAACTCATCATCACTCATATGAGAATTCATGGCTGATCTTAGGTCGTTGATCAGTCGATGATGTTCATCCAGCCAGCGTGAATAGTCCAAGTCAAATGCGAAGGCCTCTAAAGTATAATATATCACAAGAATCAAAATCATCAGGAGATTAACTTGTAGATTATGAAGTTCTTTCAAAAGTTGTATTTAGTAGAATGCAAAATAAAAGAACCAATACTATCAGCATGTTAAATTAAAATTTAAACTATAAGGATTTTCCATGCATTGCATTTAATAGTCCACAAAATAATCTTTGAATGAATACTCCACTGAATAGCAAGAAAGATTATCAGAATGTGTAGGTGACCAGAAAATGGTTAGGACAGTATAATAAACATAAAGGCAGGTCATTCTACTGTTCACAATGATCATTAACAGTGCTTTTACTTAGACTTCTAGCCCTTCTATCGAGCCTTCATCTACGGTCACTTTGCTGAGCATCTTTATAACCAAAAAATAAGAAATAGTCGACGCCATGAAAGTTTATCCTGACAGCCATTTTCTGCCGGTTCTCTACAGATTTGTCTTCCACAAACCTCTTAAACTGAGTCCAGGATTCTAGGATACAGAAATTCTGGAACTCAGATTGAAAACACCACTCCTAAACTTCACAAATTAAACCTTCATGAAACTGGTCAAGGTTAACCAGAACTTTCTCATCAAATTTCCAACCTCTCACCCATATTTATTGCTTTGATCCTATATGACTCCATCACTTAGCTCTTCACCGGAAACAATCAGAGATCAAGGAGGAACAATGTGACATGCTTAGTTTACTGATGTCATCTTTTAAGGTAGGCATCACACCTTAGAATTTAATGCAGGAATGATGTCACTTGGTCCATAAAGTAACTTCTTCATAAGCAAAACGCAAAACTAACTTCAAAGTACAAGATCCACGCATCCAATGTCGACATGAAATACAGCTGTTTAGAATATCAATAGTGTATTGAAAACAATTTAATACTGATGCTTTATGCATACACGAAAATCTAACTGACTTGTAACTAATTTGTTAAACCATTTCACAATCTATTTAAAACCTTTGGAGGAATAGACACTCAGCTGTGCTTAACACTAGGACCTGAATCTATTATGGCATATCCAAAATCCCTTACCATTTCCAGCTATTGAATGCCCATGATCCCCAGAAAATCCAGATGCAATAAAAAATCCCTGCAGAAAAATTTGCAAAACACAGAATGAAAGAAATTTAGTCTTCTATGCACTCAAGCATAAAAGGCACACTATCAAACATATTGCACTAGAGAATAACAAAACTTCCTGTACCTGCTGGCGGGCTCGTTGAAGCTCATGCTCTAGTTGTGTAAGCCTGAGTCGACTACTCTCGAGTTGCTGGACATATGCCTATCCAAAACCAAAACCTATAAATGATCCAAATATGTTTCATTCATCAACTTAAGACATCAAAATTGATATAGCAAGCCAACTAGATGGCAATGCTAATTAATTTCAGGCACAAAACTAGATGCCTCCAAATCCCAGGGTAAACTGTTGTTCATGGCAGAAGAAATACAGAAAACTTTAAACCGGTCCACAAGATATAATTTAAGGGACACCTTAATCACAATATGGACAGGTTAGATGGCATGGATGAACAGTAAAATCTTTCTAATAAAAACGCTCTCACACAAGCTTTTTTGGGTGTCTGGTCATATATTCACGAGTTTCAACCATGTTTTCCTACAAGGGGGGAACTCAAAGGGGAATTGAAAGATAGAGAACTAAGAGTTGGGAAAACCAGATTCTGAAAATAGATTAAGAATCCCAATCATCCATGTGAAGAAACAATATAACATAACTAGCAAAAGACATTACTTTCTTCCTAAGCCGACTTTTCCTTGCAGCCTCACGGTTCTGAGCCAGCCTTCGAAGAGTCTGCAAGGAGTAAACAAAGAACTTGAAAACCTAACCATCAAAAATCAAACTAAACAGAAACACAATTACTAAAGCAACATCATGTCAAACACCTTTTGGTCACCAGTTTTTCCCTTTGATTGATCCACAGATTCTCCCACCACAACTGTACCATGCTGAACTCCATAAAGCTACATAATTATAACAAACCACAATCAGAAGCTGACATCTGTCGAACAGTCAGGTAGAATGTAATTACTAGTTACCAAATAATGTAGCTGGCCATGACCAAATTGTTAACCGAGCATACAAAGCAACAATTTTAATGTTCAATGGAATCAACCACAAGAGGGGGCTCGATAGCACAACTTGGGATCTTTTATTCACGAGCTCTCAGCTTCAACACTCCTCAGCGCCCTCCTGTGGCCAACACAAGGGCAGAGGCCCGCTTCCCCAGCTATCCAGTTTAGGTTTAGCGCAATATCAACCAAAGGTGGTTGAGGTACGGACTGGTTACTTATTTATCAAAGCAAAAGAAATATGTTTGATATGATTGGAAAGTTCAAGCATCATGAGTTAGTTAAACAGAATGTAAGGTAACCCTGCAGTAAAAATTAAAGTCACAATCACGAAGATCTAACTAAAGCATATTATTCTACAAAATCGAGCAAAAGTATAACACGAAATACGATGCAAGTACACCGTGTCCGATTCCTCAATTCCCAAGCAGACCCACCATTAAGCACCCACACAAAAAAGATTCCTATTGTAGCAAACCAAATAATAAAAAAAAAAATAGCATAACATTAAGGGAAAAAAAAACAGAGCGTAATAACAGAGAAAGATGCACAAAAACCTGGTTTTTGTCATCAGCATCTACATCAGTTGAAGTGTCAGTCTGTTGGCTATTATCTGCCATCCCTGAGTCTCCCCAAGTCTCAATACTCTGCCAGTTTCCCAAAGAGGAACCAAACCCTGTTCCCTTCTGGTACATGTATTGCCCTGTGTCCAAACACCCTGCTCCAGTAGTTGCTACCTCTACCGGCCCAATACTCTTAACAATTGTTGAAACAAAAACATAACACATCAGCAGCATTAGTCAATAAATACCAATTCAGGTATTTAACAAAAGAAAGACGCGGGCGAGGAAGGTGGAGATGCACTGTACCGTGTTCAAGGCAGTAGCATAAGGTAAGTTATGGGACACAACAGTGACATTGCCTGATTTTAGACTGAACATGGAGCCTACGAAGTTCGTATTTTTTAATAGAAAAAAAATCACTGGTTGTTAGAGAAGCTGAATTCTATATGGACAAAGAACACATGCTTTTATAATTAATATACCAAGACAACAAGAGAAAGAAAGAGAAGGTAATGGATACTTGAGCTTAAATCAACAGCATCGTCGTGAGGAAAAACAGGAGCTGGTTGATGAAGCTCTCCAAGATCCGCAAAACGCGTCTGGTTTCTGCTACTAATATCTTCTCCTCTGTTTTTTTTTTTTCCCACCCAACATAAAAACAAACAGAAAAGGAGAAACAAAACAACAAATGCATAAATAAACACACGTGTGATTATCTTTTACCACATAAATCATTCCTTAAAAACCCAGTAAGCAACAAAATACAAGAGCTGAAAATAAGGAGAGAAGAAGAAAGTGAGTACCGGGGAAGGAAGGAAGAGTGGCAGTACATTTCAGGGTGAGGAACAGAAGAACTAAGAGGAGCTGCTGCCTTGAAGCTTTGTATGCGTCTCTGCTAACTTTTAATACTGCCACTCCAAATAAGTTTCATTCCCTAATAAAGTACCGTGTAGCTATGAGAGTAAGAAAGCTAGAGCAACTACTAGGTAAGGATCATAAAAAGGGTACTGTAAGGTTCGAGAATAGAGCGGGCGAAGAAGAAGGAAATGCTCGAGGAGAAAATCTTGTCGTGATCTTAATGAAGAGGACAGCGTATCAGTACGGCTCCTTTTCTTCTGAGTTTAGTAATAGAAAAAAAAAAAAAAAAAACTAGTATTATCATGCTTTTGATTGTTGCCTTCTGACTTGGGATTTTAGTTTCCCAACACTCCCACACATTTCTATACCTTTCTCACTCGCCTTCAATAGCACGTTGATATCACTGCCCCTATCGTGTTCACGGAAGCATCATTTTAATTGAAAATGCTTTAAATGGTTGGAATTTAAATGCTCTCACATTCCTTTAATTCTATAACGTAACCAACTTACTAAGGTTGGTAATCAAACAAAAATTCAAAAAATATTTAGTTATAATATTTTATGATGTTAATTAATATAAAATTATTTTTAATTATATTTTGTAAAAATAGAAAATATGACTTTTAATATAAAGCCTGTCTTTTAAATTTATGCTCATGGTGAAAGAAAAAGGATATTTAAGAGAAATCAAAATTAATTAATTGCTAAGAATGATGATTTGTTATGTGTAAAAGACAAAGTACTTCGTTGGGCATCAAATTTGCTTGCATACTTTGGTAATTTTATAGGTTTTAAAAAGAGGTGTTTAGGGGTTGATTGAAATTGTGACGAAAGAATTTAAAAATATATATATATATTAAAATAATATTTTTAGTGAAAAAATAATTAATTTTTTTAAAAATAATTAATTTTTTTAAAAAATAAAAAATATTTTTACAAAATACATAAAAATAAAAACTAAAACTATTGCATTTTATTACGAGATTATTGTCCTGCACGATAAGAAAGGCGCGTAGGACTATAGAGTCCACTCCCCGAGACAAAAAAACGCCCTTCTTTCTCTTACCTCAGTTGATTCTTTGTTTGTTTTTGTTTCCACAATCTTTCTCACTCTAGACTGTCTCTTGCAACTTGCTGATCTTTCCTGTGTCGATGTCCATCGTTTCCTCCAGAGCTATTGCCAAGGCTCGATCCTCTCCCTCTCTCTAGATTAGAATCAGAGAAAACTTTTGCTAGGAAAGAGTGTCCTGCAACTCCAGAGATGATGTGATGGTGATGAGATGTGATGAAATGAAACCCTAAGAGAAAAACAAGAAACAGTAGTGATTCTTTCATATCCCACTGTTTTTATTTATTTTTAAGTAGTATTAAATAAATTCCTCGTACTTCTGATTGTTAGATTTTAATTATTGCGTTATTTTTCCCGGTGAGAATATGTTCGAGGATCTAGGTTGGAACTCATGTATTCCCCCACACACACCCAAAAAAACAGGAAAAAAAAAAAAACCCTTGTTTTTGGAATCTGAACGATAATGTAGGAAGCATATCTATCTCAATATTAATTATTTAATTGAATAAGTAAATTATGAGGAATTTCTCAGTTTAATATTCATGGATGATTTGGCCTGTTTTTAATGTTGCTGTAAACTGAGACTAGAATATCTCTCAGGTTGTGGGAGATCTACGATTTCACTTCTTATTTCGATGGTTAACGAGAAATCGCACATCTCTTAATTATAACGATAGCAAGAACAATTGCTAAAATGACAGTGGGCAAAATCTTTATATAATATTCAGATTTGTAAGGGTCAGGAGGGTTCATTTAAAAGAGTGCTTTGCTTGAAAGAAACAACTTGGGTTTGATGGCAAAGAAGCTAAGCGGCTACAATGGGGATGTGAGCTTGCTTTTCCTTTAGGCCACCGTGTCGCAGGACCTCTGGATTGCATTTATCGATAAAAAGGGCAAAAAATATTATGACGCGTCTGATACGGCAATTCGTACATTTATAGTTGATGACGTGTCACTTTCCTTCTGGTTATCTCTGAGGTTTATGTGGGATTGGCTCCTTGTGTTTCTTCTGTCTCTAGCTTTGCTTATCCTGGCTCGATGATATGTCACGTGAACTCTTTTACAAGGGTCCCCCCTCTTATCAGTATTTGTTTTGGCTCTTGAAGTTCGAGGTTTGTAGAAAACGATTGCTCTTCTTCATTCCTCTTTTAATTCGATCCAGTGAAGGCAAAAGGGAACCTTGATCTGGTAATATTGATGTTCACGTGTTCGTCTTGTAATAGAAGTTTGTTGATGATTGTTTCATAACCTCGGGGGAGACCAGGCCCACAAGAGATTAACTGTCTTTTTATAAAAAATAAAATAAAATAAAATTTATAATAAATTATTAAAGTTTAAAGCGTGTTTGAAAATATATTTATTGTTATTTTTTAAATATTTTTTTCTCATAAAAATATGTTAATAATTTTTTATTTTTAAAATTAATAAATCAAAATAATTTAAAAATATCAAAAACGTATTAATTTAAAAAAATACTTTTAAAATATAATGTTAAATACTCTTAAAATAATTTTAAAATATTTAAGCCACCATTCTAAGGTATTTTAAGATGAAAATGGTGTACAGGTTGGGCGCGGGGAGCCGAAACAAACGCCTCTTGATTTTTCAACAGTAAAATGGAGAAATAAAAATCTCAACATAAATGTTAATTAATTATGATTTGACTCGCCTAGATTTATTAAAATATTAGAAGTGATTTTATAAGATTAACCTGGTGCATTCCGAAAACAAAACAAATCATTCTAAAGCACACTGGTTGAGCCGACACCGAGAGGGCTCCGTTAACGAACAACTGTCTACCATGTCTTGAAAACGACATATCCCTCTAAACAAGCAGAGATGCTCTTTCGAATATTGGATTGCATACCTTCAATTCCATACAAGAAAAGATCAAGGAGGAAATTGGTATTTTTAGCAATCTCGCAGCAAAATTAGATCAGAAAATGATGATGCAAGCGACCTCCACTTCTTGTATCCCATAAGCAATGCTTCGAAGAAATGGCGATTTACGTTAGTAAATGCCCACAGGAGAGCTTGTAGTTTATCTGCCCACCAAGTTTTTAACTCTAAAATATAAACAGATGACTAAAAAAATAAAAAAATTATACGGTCTCTCGCTAGACAACCAATCCAATTCCTCCAACCTAAAGAATCACTTAATTGTGACCTAATGGGGAATCTACACACAACTGTTTTTCAGCCATGCAGATGAACGTCATTCCAGGCGCACCAAAAATAAACAAAAAGAGAGAAGCTATATCTGAGTAAATGCAGCTTCCGAACAGATTTTTGACCTATACTCTTCATTTCCGTGTAATAAAGGTCCCAAACTAAACTAAAAACAAATTCAAAAACATGGATCAATAAAATATAGCACAATGAATTACAGCGCCTATTCCGGGCAAAGTTTGTCAGACGGAGACAGTTAGTATGCCAGCATTGAATCGATTGTGGGTCAATACTTCCCTTGCCCGGGCACTTCTATGCTGAAGACGCTGGTGTAGTGCCTCAGACAATTGGTTGAAGAATTCAGCATCCCATCTATGTATTAACATGGGGTCTTCAGCATAACAGATATATATGGATGTAACGGCACTTTCAACAGCCACCATAGCCAATCCAACCTGGAGCAAACAATTGTTTTAACCTCCAACGGAAAAATATGGCATTTCACTACAGATGAACTTGCACTGTTGCGCACCATCAAAATGAAATAAATGCCAGTTTTAATGGTTCGTGATTCAGATTAAAAGCAATTCATTATTGATCAGTAGTGTTTTTGCAGAAGCACCACCACCCAGTGTTGTGGTTGACAAATGGTTGGCTTTCGTTCACATGTTTCCAGCATAACATGGAACTGAAGCCAGCCTATAATTGATGCAACCCAACAACCACAGAGGAGTGTTTGCTGTGCATTAATAATGGAAATCACTGTGTAATATATACATAATGAAATAAAAGAGGGTAAAGCTAATGGGATACTACTTAAAATGTAGGTGCCACCTCCCCTCTACTTTTAATTCATTTTGAGATTTAATCTCAACTTCCAATTTTGGGTTTGACTTCCCTAAACTATATTCCACTCATAATCAAGTACTCACATTAGGTTTTGCACAATTTCATCCATAAGTTCACGAATTCTGTATTTAAAAAGCATGGGCATGCTAAGAAAATGATATTTTATCCAATAAAGAATTAATAATAGCAAAAATACATATAATAAAGGAAAAAAATTCTTGTGTTCACTTGACTTTCTCACATACAACAATTTGCTATCTTATAGACGAACTCTACCAAAAACTAACAGAAAGATTTGGTTTCAAATGTAACATAATTCACAGAGATCAAATCTGAAATTGGATGTTAAGGAATTGATTCTCAAATGAGTTAAATTAGGGGAGGTGGCACCCATTTTCCCATTTTGCCAGGCATGTGCTTTTCTAGCTGAAATATCCACAAACTGATTAAACACTTCTGCTTTATAAAACAGATGAATGCTTGATTTCAAAATAGGAAGAGAGAGAGAGAGAGAGAGAGAGAGAAGCTCTAAATTGATACTTCATGTGATAGAAACATTTTACGATATCAAAGTTGGAAAGAAATATATGTGGAAATCAGTGATATACTCCAAGTAGAGGTGAACTGGATAGGACAAGTTGCCACATTATAATTCTGAAACCCAACTTCTTAAATAACCAATAAGGTAGCAAAACTCCCAACTCCACATCCATTAAACGACACAAGCAGTTTTAGATCGTAAATAGGTTATCAATTCCAAAAGAGAAAAGTCACTGAAAGACAAACTTACCAAGACCATTCCCATCAACATTGCAGTGGATCCCACCATGGTCACTCTATAATCATTCCATTTGATATGAGTCCAAACACCCGAGCAAGTTCCACTGATGAGCCCTCCCAAAAGTGTTACCATCAGTAGAACTGCACCTGAACAATCATAGGCGACTAGTGCTTCAACTCCAGTTGATTGAAATAGTTCCCAGGCATCCCTAGCTGAACGGTTAAAACTTTTCCCATGAACAGCTATCTAGAGGGAACACAACAAATACGTGAACTGTTGTATAAATATGCAAGAATTGGCTCTTGAATGATGACAAATCAACAAAGTTTTAATGTACTCAAAAAGAAAAAGGTAATATAATAAAATTCCAGAAAAACAAAATGCTTTTATATTGAATGATGTGTCACCCAACACTGAAGCCATAAAAGTAGAAACTTATGCCACCTTGAATGCTCAGGGCATGTTTAATGGAAATCTTGTAAACAATAAAGATGTATAACAAAAGTTAAGGACAGTAAAACAG